TATTATTATTATTATTATTATTTTTTGTGGTTAAAGCATTAACTGTCACTTTTGATCATTTTAATGTGTTCTTGCTGAATAAAAAAGTAATAAATTAAATAAACTTTTAACATTTTGAAAATTTAAAACGATGCCTTTGCAATTAACTGAAATAAAGTAAGTTGAAGTACAAAAATGACTTAAAAAAAAAAAGAAATAATTTTCTAATAAATAATACTGAAATAAATAAAAATTAAAGCTAAATAGAAAATTAAAAATAATAAAATAAAATTGACAAAAGCACTGGTGCTGAGGTTTTAATATTATCACAGTAGAATGTTTATATATATATATATTTTTTTTTTTTTTGTGGTTAAAGCATTAATTGTCACCTTTGATCATTTTAATGTGTTCTTGCTGAATGAAAGTAATAAATTAAATAATAAACTCAACGTTTTGAAAATTTAAAACGATGCCTTTGCAATTAACTGAAATAAAATAAGTTGAAGTTGAAGTACTAAAATTACTAAAAACTGAAATAATTTTATAATAAATAATACTGAAATAAATAAAAATGAAAGCTAAATAGAAAATTACAAATAATAAAACTGACAAAAGCACTGGTGCTGAGGTTTTAATATTATCATCACAGTAGAATGTTTTTTTTATATATTTTTGTGGCTAAAGCATTAACTGTCACTTTTGATCTTTTTTTTTTTATGTGTTCTTGCTGAATGAAAGTAATAATTATTTTAAAAATGACCCAAACGTTTGAACAGTAGTGAATTTTAACTTATTTTTCAAATAAGAAAAAAATGTAAAGAAATAATATACTTATTACTTTTAATAATATTACTGAATACTTCTGACTTTTATATTGTGATTTATAATTCTTCAAGCTATATCAGGAATATTTGTTATTATTATTATTTGTTTGGGGACATTTTGCACTGTGATCACATCACAGTAGAATGTTTATATATATATATATATTTTTTTTTTTGTGGTTAAAGCATTAATTGTCACCTTTGATCATTTTAATGTGTTCTTGCTGAATGAAAGTAATAAATTAAATAATAAACTCAACGTTTTGAAAATTTAAAACGATGCCTTTGCAATTAACTGAAATAAAATAAGTTGAAGTTGAAGTACTAAAATTACTAAAAACTGAAATAATTTTATAATAAATAATACTGAAATAAATAAAAATGAAAGCTAAATAGAAAATTACAAATAATAAAACTGACAAAAGCACTGGTGCTGAGGTTTTAATATTATCATCACAGTAGAATGTTTTTTTTATATATTTTTGTGGCTAAAGCATTAACTGTCACTTTTGATCTTTTTTTTTTTATGTGTTCTTGCTGAATGAAAGTAATAATTATTTTAAAAATGACCCAAACGTTTGAACAGTAGTGAATTTTAACTTATTTTTCAAATAAGAAAAAAATGTAAAGAAATAATATACTTATTACTTTTAATAATATTACTGAATACTTCTGACTTTTATATTGTGATTTATAATTCTTCAAGCTATATCAGGAATATTTGTTATTATTATTATTTGTTTGGGGACATTTTGCACTGTGATCACCTTTGAGATCTAGCTCTAAACATGGTCTGTGTATGGCAAGCATAATTGCACAGGAAGTGCTTCTGAATCTGGGAAGGAGATCATGCTGAGAGAAAGTCTTGTTGCTATAATGCATCCCTGCAGTGTTAATAATTGGATTATGGTATATCTGCAGGTGTGTGATGGGAAGGTGTCAGTTCATGTGATCGAGGGAGACCACCGGACCTTCCTAGAGGGCGAGGGTGTGGAGTCCATCTCAGGCATCATCCACAGCTCACTGGCTGAACCCAGAGTCAGCACCAGAGAGGGCTGAACCTTCCCAGTCTTTTTTCACCCTTACTCTGTTGCTTTCACCTGACAAACCAAAACTGTGTCCCGGCGTATTAAAGCATGCACGTTTGTCATCTGTTCATACCTCTCACCCACGCAACAGCCTTTTCCTTCTCATCTTTCTCATTCTCTACAGATCTCAATTGCTCATCACCCTTTACTTTATTCCATGCTGGGAACAAAAATGCATGTCTGTTTATTTGCTTTATCGGTTAAGATTCAATCAGCTGTTCATTGTCTTCTATAAATCATCATATGTTATTGTGAAAACTAAAATGTCACTGGTTTCTAGCATGAGAGCATAGAGCTGTAGTGATCACTGGCACTGTCTAACCTGCATAATAAGTCTGCTAAAGGTTTCGTCAATCCAACCTAATGATGCGGCCTGCAAGTCAAGGTCACTTTACTGTATTCAAATCCACATATTAGCTGTTGAGATTCTAGTTACGCACATAGCTGAGATTGTTGTTTACCAGTTGTGAGCGGTTACTGATGCTTTAGCAGTACTAGTTCAAATCGCTTATGTTTACTGTAGCATTGTTCTTCTTTTCTGAATGATATACGCTGGTTCTCTTGTTGTTGCTGAACATCTAAACTTATTCTGAAATGTTCATTTCATGTTTATTTAAAAGGGAAGATATGTATGAAAAAGAACATTCCTGGATGAGAGCAACCATTAAGAGAGCTGGTTAATTGACTAGTAAATTTTGAAGAGTGATTCATCTCGGCTCGTACTGTAATGATGCTTCACTGCTTAACTGTAGACCAATAACTGGAGTATTAATATTGTATTGACGTTTCTAATCCTCTTTTTGAGGATAGTACCAACATTCCTTATTCCGGGTGTCTCTCAGATATATATGTTCTCCCAAAATGCTCTGTAATTGATTGACAGCTTTAATACTTCAGATGTTAGTTGTAGTAAATTCTTGTGGCCAGGTCCACATTAAACACAAGCTCAGTTCATAGTGCAAATCACATCATATTTTAGTCAAAATGAAGTGTTATTTGGTGTAGGATGTATGAACGTTTTCATGGCAGTGACATGATTACGGACTTTCTCTTTCTGTCACAACAGAGGAAAATCTTCTGTTTGAAAGCAAATCACTACACATTTCTGAGACTAATTGTTTAAGTCAGTGACGAATTGTGATTTCTTTCAATGTTTAGAGCAAAGCTAGAGAGTTCATTTTTCTATTATTGAAATCTTTTTTTCTTGTGGTGTAATTTTTCCAGTATTTATTGTACTAGTCCAAATAAAAAGCTATTACTAACATACACATCCAGAGTCTACTAGTTTGTTTTTCTCCAGCCATATTAGATGTTCTGGTTCTACAGATTTAATGATTACACAACCAAGATAAGCTAAAAATTGATAATCCAGTTTGTTGATCAGAAGTTATTAAATCATTTTATTCATTACCTGTTTTACTCATTAATAAAAAAAGTGGCCACATCAATAAAAAAAAAAAAACATCCCCTTTGAAGACAATTGATTTTTAAGCAGCTGCTGTTTAATATTCTTTTTCTTGCTTCAGAGTCTCATAAAGTAAAAAAAAAAAAACACGAGCTTTAGAATCAAAATAATATTTACAAAAAGAAAATTAAAATCACAAACCACTAAGGGTTTCCCATAAATCCATTTTCACGCATCAGTTTTGCAGTTGCACTCATGCAGTGTATAAAGGCACAGTGTGATCTGAGTGGGCATGCATAGAGGATCAGAGCACATGACCAAAGAAAGGGATTTCACAAACTCAAATTATTTACGCATGTAGCAAAGCATACAGAGAAATCTTGCAGAAGTACTGAATGTGATCTGGTAATGCCTTTTTGAAGATGCAAGTGAAAATACAATGCAGCAATAAGAGATAATGCTTTGAGATTGTCATCGGGATGTTTGTAAGACTGGAATGTTTGGTTGTTTCATGTAAGGCTTGATACGGTGTCTTCTAGGCCTGTCGCAATAATATATCAACTTATCGCGCAATACATGACCTCAATAATTTTTGGCGACGCAATATATCGCCCATTATATTTACTTAAAAATGTATGTCACCATGTTTTGTACATTCCACTTGCACCTGTGTCTTTTGCAGCTTCTCGTACATAACGTAGTCATGAGGTGCTAGTTTAAATTAAAAAAAAATGCTTCTACAAACAAAGTTTCATCTGAAGATATGGCCTTGTTTAGGGATCTGTGCCTTTGTGCATACGGATATCTGACTGCTGAGTAGTGATTGTGTTTTTCAGCAAAAGTGTGCACCCTTAATTTACAGAGAAAAGAAGGTTAGGGAAAAATCTGTAGATGGAAAAATCTCCATACAAGTTCTTTGTGCATTTTTCTTTTTTTCTACTTGTTACTTTGCACTTTTTGTTAGAAAATGTTTATTTACTATTTATTCTAAGGTATCTAATATTTTGATACTTAATTTCCATGATCTACATATTTTAAAAAATTAAAAGTTTGTTGTCATTTGGAAGTGTGCAGGCCATCTTGCATTATTATTCTGTTACATTATGATTATATATTCAGTGGCATAAAATGGTCTTTAAAATAACAATAATATCGCTTATCGCAATTATTTCTGGGGCAATATATCGCACAACAAAAAGTTGTTATCGTCACAGGCCTATATGCTACTAGTTTTTGCTGTGGTATCAAAGTAGTAAATTGTTCTTTAAATAATAAGTGTTACTTAAATAATAAAGAACCATATTTTTGAATATCTGAAAAATGA